GAGAGAGAGAGAAAGAGAGGGACTGCACAAAACACCGCACACCTTTAAGCTACATGTGACTTTGACTGCTCATTAGAAAAAAAACATAATTAACATCATAATATTTAAAGGGCCCATATTGTTTTCAGATCTACTGCATGTTTTAATGTAGTTTCCTCATCACAAAACAGACCTCGAGTTGTGTTTTGTTTCATTCACACATGTTTCCTGCATACATAGGCTTCTCTCAAACAGAAAACACTCTGATCCACCTTGTGATGTCATGTGGTAATACTATATAGACTGTATAAAAGAAGTGGACTAAGTGAGTGTGACGCCCCCAATCCGTGTATCATTCGTTCATTCGTTTTTCAATATAAAACCAAAAATAAGAAAACGAAAAAACAACAGTTTTCTTCGTTATTTGTCTCCAAAACCAAAATGAAAAAACGGATAACGATTCGTTTTTCAGTTTTCGATTTTGTGTTTAAATGAAGAATGGAAAAAACGGATAACGGCCGTTTCCCGTTTACGTGACTTCCGTGACTGCGATGCCGAACTTTTGCACCGGGTACGGACTGAACTAGGACTGATCCAGGTCCGAGACCAGACCGGGACCAGAGCGGGACTGAGACCGGGACCAGAGCGGGACTGAGACCGGGACCACACCGGACCAGAGCGGGACTGAGACCGGGACCAGACCGGGACCAGACCGGGACCAGAGCGGGACTAGAGACCGGGACCAGACCCGGGACCAGACCGGACACCAGACCGGACCAGACCGGGGACCAGAGCGGAGACCAGACCGGGACCAGAGCGGGCCTGAGACAGAGACGAGACAGAGACAAGACCGAGACCAGATCGGAGGCTCAGAGCCCACGACAAGGCCGGAGCTCGAAGCTGAGGCTTGGACCCCGCGGAGGCTCTGAGTCAAAGCTTGGAGTCCGCCCCAGTCCCGCTCTAGTCCCCGTCTGGTCTCGGACCTGGATCAGTCCTAGTTCAGTCCGTACCCGGTGCAAAAGTTCGGCATCGCAGTCACGGAAGTCACGTAAACGGGAAACGGCCGTTATCCGTTTTTTCCATTCTTCATTTAAACACAAAATCGAAAACTGAAAAAACGAATCGTTATCGTTTTTTTCATTTTGGTTTTGGAGACAAATAACGAAGAAAACTGTTGTTTTTTCGTTTTCTTATTTTTGGTTTTATATTGAAAAACGAATGAACGAATGATACACGGATTCGCCCCCCTTTGGGTTCAGTGCTGCTCAAATGAGGTTCACGATGTTCACGATGCTCACAGTTACAGGAGTGAATCTGGAGCCAGGCTTTTTAACGAACAAAATAGAAAAAAAAAACAAAAAAAAAACTTCAGGATCATGTAGAGCGAGTTAATACGAGCATTTTAAGACCAAAATGACGAAGTTCACAGCAGCAGGGACAGAGAGACGAGCCACAAGATCCTAATGTAACTCAATTGGAGCCAAGGTCTGAAGGAGCTAGAAGAGCCTCCTGGAGAACTTCCTGTTTGTCATGACCACTTATATATACGATCTATGCGTAATACAGGAAGTGCTCCACTGTCCGTACACCTTGGATGATTTCAGCTCTGGAATTGAAAATCTGAAGTAAAAGTAAAAGCTGTTATTACCACTATATGACATCACCAGGTGGAATATATGTTTTGTGTAATAATCCTACATCATTGAGAATAATGCAGGGTTACTCAAGCATGTGTGAATGAAACAAAACACAACTCCAGGTCTGTTTTTGAGGAGGTAAAACCATACCAGCTGGTCAAAGCCTGATCTCGTGGTTAGTACTGTATTTTCCACACTATTAGTCGCTCTGGATTATAAGACGCACTGTCAGTAAATGGTCTATTTTCAAACTTTTTTCACAAATAAACCGCACTGGACAAACAAAACACAATAGTTGGATGGGTCAGTGGGGCTTTGTTTGGTGCGTTCACGGTGACTCTCAGCTTTGTTCAGTTGTTCAGAACCGCTGGATTGTCGGCGTGTTCGTAGTGACTCAGTTGTTCAGTTGTGGCTAGAAGTGGCACATTGCACTCGCTTTTTCAGTTCATTCCAGAGTTCTTTAAGAGACATGCAACATCCACTGAACTCAGTTTCAGCTGCTTCCCTCTGGTCAGAGGCTTTTAGTCCCAAGATCTAGAACAAATCGTTTTAAAAGGAGCTTCGTTCCGGCTGCTATCGGACTTATGAATAAATTGTAATCTATTTATCTAAGTTTGTGGGTTTTTAACATATTTAATATTTATTGTGATTTTAGCCAAGCGTGATGGATGAATTTAATTGGTTGTTTATGGAACAAACCATTCTGCACTGGAGCACTGCAACACTTTATTTTGTAATTGTGATTTTATGTGTGTTTTGTGGATGAATGAAATGTGAAATGTGGAACCTGCCTCTCAAATCTGCAAAGCAAATTTACCTACAGGTACGAATAAAGCGACCTAACCTAACCTAACCTAACCTAAACCTTCCGTTCCTCGTCGGCGTGGAGTGACGAGTGTGGCTGTGGGTGTTTTTCGCTGCTCGGTCGCTGTCTGCTCCGTGCATGTTTGCGGCTTTGCAGTTCACTGAAGTCGTGCTGGGACACCCGACTGGATTTGTGTATAGGGCGCTCTGGATTGTAGGGTGCTCAGTAATTTTTTGAAAGGGTTGGAGGCTTAAGAGCTCGTCCAGTAGTGCAGAAAATACGGTAACGTACAATTCCATAACAGTTACCTATAGCAACCATGATGTAAACAAGAGCCAAAACTTGTATAAACTGCACAATAGTTACAAAGAATTAATTCTACAACTCAATTACAACTTTATTACTTTGTTAAATGAAGGTTTAGAGGTCAGAGAAATGCTTTCGTTGTGCGTAAATTGTCTCTGCATTTTGTTGATGACATAGATAGATAGAGAACTCAAGGCTCCTTCCTATATTTCTGTAAGTTTATTCCTCACAAATTCACACTTAAGTAAAGCAAAACTGTGAGAAACATTCACCACAGGTACTATCCCACCAAATCAAGGAATAATAATTAGAAAACCTTAAGAGGAATGAATCAGAATGAAAACGCTGACCTCCCCGTCACCTCAACAACTGTGAAATATGAAGAGCGGAGTGGGCGGGAGTGTGGAGCGCTGTATAAAAGGTTGCAGGTTCAATTACAACGGTGGGAGGGCGATTAGCATTTTAATAATAATATGGTTTGGTCCGTCTTCTTGGCATTTGTTTTCGCTTAAAGGTGCACTGTGCAACTTTTCATGGACTTCCGCTGGGGATGATAATGCTTCGCCTGCATCGGTGCTACACAGTTTGAAAATAAACTCGTATCTGGAGCATTTATTTATGTTTTCGGAGCTAAAAATACCTTGAAAAACATAAGTATTTGTTTTTACGGTGAAAGGGGTCTCTCGCCTCTCAGTGGAGAATGAAGCAATGCAATAACATCTCCATGGAAACAAGCAGGTGGAGGATTCCATGTAGAAAAATTACGCAGAACGCCTGAAATTATTTTTGTTTTGTCATAGTTACAGTCCAGCTCTGTGGAGAGGTGACACCGCTCATAGTAAGAATCCATGTTTTTCCATTTTTATTTAAACAAAAGCTAAATCATTGTAGTTTTTAATGCTTTACTGTGGAAAACTCTAATAAAGTAATATCATCTTCTTGGAGACAAGCAGGTGGTGGACCCGCCATCAGAATTAAAGTTAGTAGTAGTAGTATTAGTAGTATAGTGTACATGGTACCTGTAAGATATGACAAAAATATAGTTCTACCAATTAGAAACAGTAATACAGGATTTTGTTTGTTTTTCTTATACAATATTAACTGGAAAAAAGTTAATCCTAACCCTAACCTCTCAGGCTACGTTCAGACTGCAGGGTTAATGCTCAATTCAGATTTTTTTTTTTTTTGTGAAATCAAATTTTTTGGCGAGCTCGTTCACATTTCCATTTAAATGCGACTTGTATGTGATCTCCAGTGTGAACATTAAACGGCCCAAAAGTGTCCCACATATGCACTGGAGAACACGACGACGTCACACGTAGAGAGTATGCTCAGTTTTTACGGATGTCGCCTGAACATGGACACAGCATTGAGCATCTGGAGATTTTAAAGTTGCTGTTGTACCGGAGCCAGAACATGTACAGTTTATTTGTTTTAAGGAGGAGACTGAGAAGGAGAAGGACAAGGTTTTTGGTCATTTCGTTTTGTGGGACAGTGCAGCAAAGTGTGGTGTGGAGTTGCAGCCAAGAGTGGTGAGATTGCTATGTGCTGGAGTTCATACACAACTTTCGTATGGCGAGAGGAAACACGTATAGGTGGGATGAATGTGACCTGGCCGTTCAGACTGAACGCACGTCAAAAGATCAGATACGTATCAGTTTTAGGAGCACATATCCAAGTGGCCTGAGTCATATTTGAAAAAAATCTGATCTGTGTTGTTCAGAGTGTCATTAAAAGATCAAATACAGGTCACATAGGGGTGAAAAAAATCAGACTTGGGTCACTTCAGGCTGCAGTCTGAATGTAGCCTTATACTCCACAGCTTGAAGGTTCTGGGTTCGATTCTCAGATGGCTCTGGCCTGTGTGGATTTTGCATGTTCTCGCTGTGTCTGAGTGGGTTTCCTCTGCATTCCGGTTTCACATCAACCCAAAACATGGAAAATGGCACAATCCTCCAGCTAAAGTCCTGACCAAAACTAGCAGCAAGATCATGGAGAAGGGTCCTTGGGCGCCACACGCTGCCCACTGCCCCAGCGACTTGGAAGGATGGGTCAAATGCAAAGAACAAATTTCTCTACAGGGACAATAAAGTACCTTTCCTTTCCTGTCTGTTATTGACCAGCAACAGTTTCAGGGTTTGACTTTCTAACTTTCTCTTGGTTAAAACTGTCATTTTGTTGAGTTTGCTGCTGTGATTTTGGGCCATACAAAAACACACTGAACTGAACATGAGTAAACCCAAGCGTTTGTGTAGCTGTAGCTGTGTGTGTACCTGCTGAGAGCCTGGGTTTGGTCCTTGGCGTCTGCATCTCCTGCCTGGCGTGGGGGAGCATGTGGTACCTCTTGGCTTCGTTCACCAGGTCCCTGCAGGCCTCAGACGATTTGATCAGCTCCTCGTTGTCCACCACGTTGAGCAGGTACGAGGGATGGATGAACGGGAGACGCACTACTGCCAACAGCTCCGACAAATACTGCAAAAAAACACACACAAAACAGCAGAGCCCAGTCAGAAAGCAGCGCGCAGATCAGTCAGGCTACGGTAGATTAAGCAGTTTAAGTGGATGTCTGGGGTGGATCAAGTTTGGAAATAGTTTTGGTGGAAACTATAAAACAGTAAAAAGTTTATGGAGTTTTAAAATGTAGCGTATGTACTGCCGTTAAAGGTCCTATATTACATAAAACTGGATTCTGGTAAGATTTCAATTTCACTTCGTGGAAATCATCTGACCTCGCAGCATCAGGATTCGTTCGTTTGATGGTAGGCGAGTATTTTTTTATGTAACCAATCTCTGCTATTTGGTTGTGACGTATGTAATGCACTGGAACATTCAGTGATGTCCAAGTAATTGCCAGCACAACAGCAAACAAAGCAGAGTGAACATGTCTGTCAACAAATCATTATCGTTTCTGCGAGATGCAATAAAAAATGCAATATTTGTATTTGACAAAGGAAGTCCAAAGGAGGAGAGCGTATGCAGTCTGCTATCACAACTCCGGTTCAGCTCTTCAGTGTTTGGCCAGAGTGCTAGTCTACTGTCCAGTGTATTCTGAATCCTGTCCTAGACGCTGGAGAGAAATGAAAATGAGTGGAAACACTAGGTGGCGCCAGTCTGGCTAGCTATAATGCTGTTACCTTCTCAAGAACAGACCTGGAGTTGTGTTTTGTTTCATTCACACATGTTTGAGTAATCCTTTATTATCAGTGTCTAAATCTCCAAATCTCAACATGCTCTGTTCCACCTTGTGATGTCATATAGTGGTGGTTTTCAAGTAAACAGCTACTGCAGAACTGAAGAACCAGCTTGGATGAGCTGCGAAACGTCTTTAACCAAAATAACTTTTGTCCAGTCGACAAACTGAATTTTCTCCTCGCCAAGTAAACAGCTACTTTTACCCCTTAAGGCTGCCACACACTACAGGATTTTTCAGTCTTAAACAATTTTTAAGCATGAGACAAAAATCACACATCAAAGATAGAGATTTTAAATCTCCGATCTCAAAGACTGCAGCAGGATATGTCTGCAGACCACAGGATGTAAAGATGTAAACAAGATAGTGTCAGCTGTTTCTTGTCTAGAGTAAAATGATACTCAGATACATTTTTAATGCACAGGAGGCTGTCAATAAAGTACAGGAAGTAGAATCTTGATCAGTAATCTGCAGCTTCACCTTGATCCGTGTACTGTGTGGATGTAAACAGACACACGAGGCAACAACATTGTAAAAATTTTGCATGACATTGGACCTTTAATGAAACACTTGTTTTTGTCGTTTCCATCTAAATGTTGTATCAATGTCTTTTGATCAATGTAACAGTTGCCCTGACAGTACCTGCCTATCATTTTTTTATTTTTGGACATTCTGTGTAATCATGTAAAGTTATTAAAACTGTCTGTAAAGGTGCACAGTGTAATGTTTTTATAGGAACTATAATTGAATAAATGTAAGGTAGAGCTGTTTAATGTCATGTCATAATGTCAAAAAGTTAGACAGACACACGTGGGGAACTACTCTGGCCTTTTTACTGTTAAAGAACGCTTCAAACTGGATTAACAGAGCTGTTTTGTTGACTGGATGTCATTATTTTCAGAGGACAATTTCTATGGATAATGTGGATGAGATGCTGCATGTTAAATGTACAGTTTTACAAGAGGTGAGGGATCATTATTTTTGCTATTTCCTGAGTTTGTATCATGTGCGTCTGTGTCTGTGGAAACAACATTACAACATAGATTTAAAAAAAATACTGTAATATGCGAGCTTTAAAGGGTTTGATTTGATACATGATACAGATATATTGTATAAACACGTCTAAGGGTCAAAATGAGATCCTTGTGCGCTTTCTGTTTGTAATTATAAAGCTCTCGAGCTTCATTTCAGTTCATTTGGCATAATCTAGGACCTTTAATGTTTTAGGAAAGTAAGGAATAACTTCACTTCTCTTCAATCTGTTTAAAATGAACTAGTTGTGTTTTTCATATTTTTAAGACAGAAAGAAAGAAGAAATAAGGCACAGCGGCTTTAACATTAGCATTTCAATCAGTTATTACTTAAAAAGCCTGATATAAAAGATGCCAAAAGATCTGCAAACACCACACAGGAGTCATCCATCTTGTGTATCTCCCTCTCCTCGGCTCATTGGACACAGTAAGAGACAGCTGGACTTTGAATGAAATTATCAGTCATGTTTATTTATTTATTTTCAATTGAACATAGCTTCACTATAATGTCTTTATACAAATCTAAGAGCGGAAACAAAAGTTAGGAAGGTTCCAAATTTCCAAACTTCACTTTGCCAGATGAGAAATCGGTATGGATGGCTCTAACTTCTTCATACCCTAAATGCTAACTATTGACAATTATCACTTAAATAATACCGTATTTTTTGGACTATAAAGTGCACCAGATTATGAGGTGCAATATCAATAATGTTGAATTCTCTTGTCTATTTTCATACATAAGTCACAATGGATTATAAGGAGCATTAAGCGAAACAAACAGACGGCACTTGAGACTGATCCTTAGTCCAGGCGTCCACGATCCATCGGCAGATCGTGGTGTAATTCACCCGGCGTTGCCTCCCTGTCTTGGTGAATGTGGATTATGAATGTGAATGTGGGTGGATCACTTAAGTTTTTTTTTTTTTATTTCTTACTATGATGACTCAAATATACATTGAGTAATAATGTGTTTAATGCAGCTTTACCACATATGTTTAGTTTTACAGAAACGGAACTTAAAACCACATGGCTCATTTGCATAAACTGTAAGTGTTAAAAACAGTCGCTCCTTGAGCATAGTTTACCAAAGTCGTATGTGAGTGCTGTGTACCACATAAAATCAGTTCAAGGTCAGTAAGCACAGCCAGAATTAATACATAAGGTGCACTGTTGATTTAAAAAAAAATAAAAAAAATTTAAGGATTTTAAGTGCACCTTATAGTCTGAAAAATATGGTATTTATTTAAATACATGCATCAGAGGGACAAAGGGATATATTGTCCAAGGCTGCAGCGTCTTAGGGGCCCAAAATTGCTCCCTCTTCCTATTAATTTATATTAGAGAGGGGCCCATGTGAAGTTTCTTGACCCGGGCCCTCATATTTTTGTCGACAGGCCTGTGTAGTAGTAGTAGTAGTAGTAGTAGTCTATTCTGTGATTTGCAGCACTACAAGAACATAGAATGCAACCCATTTGGATCATGACATGGGTTTAGGCTGAAGTAAAAAAAAAGCCTCACCTTGTTAAACAATGACAGAATTACAAGAAAGAAAGACATATTTTCCGTCTAAATGCTGTATGAAATAAATGATAATGATATTAATTGAAGAGGAAATTGGCTCCTGATTAATATAAAACTGATCCCATGACAATTCCTGGCTATCACCTTCAAGATAGGTGAGAAGTTAAAGAAGTTCAATAATGAAGCGTCATAAAACTTGTAACAGCCCAGTCATTTTGGATGTTCTGTGTAATTATGTAACGTTTCATACTGTTAAAATAGTCTGTAAAGGTGCATTGTGTAACTTTTCTGCAGGCTTAGGGTCCATCAAATGCTTTTCTCCATGGAGATGTTATTGCTTTGTCTTGTTTCACATATGTTTTGCAGTATGGTGATAAACCTTTCTACCCTCCAGGCCGAGTTACCGGTCATATCCGTGGAGAGGCGACCCCGCTCACAGTCAGAATGTCTGTTTTTCTAGGTATTTTTGAGCTATAAAACCAACTGTATTTGAATAAATGTAAGGTAGGACTGTTTAATGTCATACTGTGGAACATTTCAGACAGAGCAATGACATCTCCACAGAAACAAGCAGGTGACGAACCCCTATCCAAAAAGTTACACAGTGCACCTTTAATACGAATTGGCTTCTGATCACCATAAAATAGTGTGATGAAAAGAAAAAAAAAAAGATGCTATAACAAGTCCTGGTTTAAATTTCAAGACAGGCAAGAAAAATTTAAACTAGCTGTAAAAGTCTTAACAGCCCAGTAATGTTTGGATGTTCTATATGTATCCAGATCCATCCCAGATTTTCCCCTACGCCACATGACTTGTCACCACCCTTGTCACCGCCCATCACACCGCCCATTTCACCAATTATCCAATCACACTTCATCAGTCAGAGTATATAAGGTCCCCTGACTTCTCTCCTCAGTTGTGTGGGAGAGAAGCCAGTGCGACACTGTCATGTGTGCTGGGCATTTCAAATTGAAACAATACTGAACTGGCCAGGTGCCCAAACCTGGGTTTAATCGGATGGCGAGCTAGGAACTGTCCTTTGAAAGAACTCTGGTCTGGTAGGAGGCTAACCTACTCTCACCTACTCCAGCTACCTCCACTACTTAACTGTTCAGTCAACTGCACTTAATGGACATCATACCCCCTCATAATAACTAATACTGGACTCTGATGTAGCTTGGACTCTGTTTTTCCACGCTGGGCAAACAGACCGGGTTCTCAAGGACGTTTAATTGATTGAGTTTGCTTCATTTTTGTTTTGCTGCAGCTGATGTATATTTTGTGTTATCTCACTTTTTTCCTGTATAATACACATTACTCATTTTTCAACTAATCCGTTATCTTAACTTAATGCCCCTGCCCTCCTGTAGCCTCACCTAGGATCTTCTGATCATCCAACTCTGCTAATTACACATAGTAGTCATTACACGGTTATTACAATTACAATTATTACACATTTGTTACACATTTATTACCTAGTAATAAGCAAACACTTGTTACATATATGTAATCATGAAGTTAAGTTTCATACTATTAAAATTGTGTTTGTTTCTATGGAGATGTCATTGCTGTGCCTGGAATGTTCCACAGTGTGACATTAAACAGCTCAACTTTACATTTATTCAGTTACAGTTGGTTTTATCACTCAAAAATACCCAGAAAAACAGAAGATAGAAAGGTTTAATACCATACTGTGAAAAATTCCAGTAATATCTTCATGGAGAAAAGAA